GTGTGTGAGTGTGTGTGTGAGTGTGTGAGTGTGTGTATGTGAGAGTGTGAGTGTGTGAGTGTGTGTGTGTGAGTGTGAGTGTGTGAGAGAGTGTCATCTGTGTGTGTATCTGTGTGTGTGTCTGTGTATGTGAGTATATGAGTGTGGAGTGTGTGTGTGTGTGTGTGTGTGTGTGTGTGTGTGTGTGTGTGTGTGTTTTCACAGTTCAGGGGCTTACTAAAAACTGAGTGTGAAGATTGCAAGGATAAATGGTTGGTATCTTTGGGTTCATGTTGTTTTGCACAGTTTTAGCATTTTTAGAAGGACTTGTTTTGTGTCTGTGTGAGTGCCTCCACATGTATATGTGCATCACATGCATGCCTAAGGCCAGAGGTATCAGATTCCCCTAGAACAGAGTTACATATAGGTAGGCCTCCGCCTCCCAAGTCCTGGAACTAAAGGCGTGCACCGCCACCACCTGGTTCTTTCTTGTTTTGTTTTTGTTGTTGTTTTTTGGTTTTTTTTAAACTATAAAGTACTCTTGGTGTGGCATACCTGCAAGTAACTTAAGATAAGAGAGCCCACTGGAAGACAGCAATAGAGAGAAAAGGCCTTTGGACTTCAGAGAGATCAGAGGTGAACTTTAACCTCAAGGGAAGTGGAGGGAAGTAGATGGAGTTGACAGAAGGGAAGCTTCCCAGGGCACTGTGGGACATTGAACCAGAGCCGTCACCATGTGGAGCCCTGGCTTCCAGGAGAGAGCCTGAGGTTGGACTGGGATTTAGTGGGCAGGAGGGCCCTCTGACACATCAGTCTCCCCAAGGAAGAGCTAAGGCAGAGGGAGTGGCTTAGAGAAAGTGGAGTAGCAAAGCCAAGTGTCTTCTGGAGTAGAGAGCGCGACAGAGCCGGTAAAGCTGGGGGCAGGAGGGGACAGAGGATTTGGCATTTTGTTGCCAGGAACTTATTCTCAGAAAGAAAGTTGGATGGCAGTGGTGTCACATGGTGGCCAAGTCATGTAATCCCAGCAATCAGGAGGCAGAGGCAGGCAGAGTTCGAGGCCAGCCTGGTCTCCAGAGTGAGTTCCAGGACAGTCTGGGCTACACAGAGGAAACCCTGTCTTGAAGAAACAAAAAAGAAAGGAAGTTGGAAGACAAGAGTGAGAGAGAGACTCTGCCCAGTGTTCTTTCGTGGTAACTGTTAACAAATGGAGGGAAACAAGACACCTGTAAACCCAGCACTTGAGAGGTGGAGGGTGGAGAATCAGGGACTCGAGGTCAGGTTTAGCAAAACAGGGGTTCAAGGCCAGCCTGGGCTACACATGATCTCTCTTTAAAAAAAAAAAAAAAAAAAAAAAAAAAAAAAAAAAAAAGAGGAAATAACAACAATATAAGGTTTAAACATGAGAAAACACAAATTACAGCAGTGAGTGGTTTGTAACTTGACTCATATTATGTTATTAAAGAATACAAACCTGGGACTGGCAGCATGGCTCAGTGGGTAAAGGCACTTGCTGCCAAGCCAGATGGTGAGGAGAAAAGCAGCTCTTGAAAGTTGTCCTGTGCATGCATGAGTGTGTGTGTGTGTGCGCGCGCACACACACATAAACACACCAATATTTTTTAAACTTTGTTTTCATTTTTTATTTTATGAGTATTTGTATATGTCTGTGCACCACTTGCATGCCTGTTGCCTGAGGCCAGAAGAAAACACTGGCAATGACCTGGGTTCAATTCCCAGCCTCTCTACAGGGTGGCGCCAACCTTCCATAACTCCAGTTCCCAAGGGATCTGGTGCCCTCTTCTGGAGGCAGACAGGATTGAAAGTCTTTTCTATGAAGGGCCTGAAAAGGGGGCTGGAGAGATGACTTAGTCTGTGGAGTACTTGCCTTGCAAGCTTGAGAGCCTGAGTTTCATCCCCAGACCCATGGAATCTCTGAGGCTTGCTGGTCTGTCAGTCTAACCCACTGGTGAGTTCCAGGCCAATGAAAGCTCCTGTCACAAAAGAAAAGGAGACAGAGCAAGGAGGTGGTGGAGCACACCTTTAATCCCAGCACTCAGGGGGCAGAGACAGGCAGCTTTCTGTGAGTTTGTAGCCAGCCTGGTCTGCCAGCAAGTTCCTGGAAAGCCAAGGCTGTTACATGGAGAAACCCTGTCTCAAAAAAAAAAAAAAAAAAAAAAAGAAAAAGAAAA